TGACACGATATAAATTGAAATGATACCTAGTCGGGCAACGGGCCCACGCGTGTCACGGGGCAAAGCGCCCATGGTGAAGTCTTGTGTTATACATCATTAGATTTGTCTCAACGACCTTTTCAAAACTATGACTAGCTTTTTGAATTACAAATTACACTTCATATTGCATGATTTTTTTATTTGCCGCCTCAAGGCATCAGGTTTAGTTTCTAGTTATGCGTATTTGACCCCTTATCGAGTTTTTGGCTCTTGCTTTGCCAAAAGTTGATTTCAGCAAACACAAATGAGTCAAAAGTTGATGAATTTTTTTGGTGTTGGCTGAAATCAAGATTAAGCACGAATTCTCTGCACATAATATCTGGATTATGGACGAAACTGGAACGAAGTTTTTTCTGATCAACTATATATATTTTTTCTAGTCAAGGATACATTCTTTCATGTCATGGACGAATTTTTAATCGCAAGGCTATATTTTTCAAGTCAAGGATATATATTTTTATGTCAATGAAATATTTTTCTTCACGTCAGTGATAGATTTTTTAAGCCAAGAGTATATTTTTTCATGTTATGGATATGATTTTTTGAGTTGTTAATAAATGAATGAATGTCATATTTTTTATTACATTTTTCTTATTTTTAACTGTAGAGTGTTGTTTCATCATTTTTAAACGAAAAATATGCAATTGTGGTAAAGGGAACAAGGGTGGGCGCCTTGCCTCAAGCCCATGGGCCCACTTTTTACAAAATATTGTTTCATTAAAAACTGAATAACTCTATAGGCGTCTAATTCACATCATACATTCCTCATTAGTTGTACCTTTAAACAAAACAAATAACCAGCTCGTATCAATTAAAACTTCATCACATTTTTAACTTAAAAAAAGTGCGGGGTACGCTGCCCCATGTTGCCCTATATAAGGCCGTAGTATTTTGCACATTAATTTTTGGGGTTCCCTGGACACATCAACTTCAATTCAATCTTTTCGATTTTCAATTGTCTTCAATTAAAGCCACTTTCTAGCAAATATGTATAAACAATCCACGTACTTGTTTAAACGTATGTACACTCGATGAACAGTATTGATATGCTTGGCTTCTTCATTGCACGAGTGCCGGAGAGTGTAAGTCTAGGAAAGTCGAGGAACGCCGAATAAAGCGGAAGAGTTCCGCTGTCGGTTCGTTCTTATTGGAGCACTGAAGCCGTGTCCATGTGTCCATGAGGCCCCTTGGCTGGACAGACTTCAGTTGATTAACCACAGTTGACAATCAGTAAAACGTGGTAATGGGTAAGCGTAAATTTCTTCCGCTCGAATTTCACACCACAAAAATTTACTAATACACACCTTGTGCATTCCACCTTCCGTAAGTTTTAAACTAAAGTTACCATATGAAATTACGAATAAGAACCGAATAAACAGCTTCTAAAATAAATTTTATCACTTCACAATGTTACATTAATAACGCCAAACGGCTCCTTTCCTTTCCAATATTATCTCATCGACTGATATTGATTTGAATTACATGCAGAAAGAAAAAGTGTGTCATAAGGCATGCAATATTCCAATGCTTAAAATAAGTTGAAGTTAAAGGTTAGCCGCGTTGAACAATCGTGACTGAAAAAATAAGTATTTTCTCACCTTCCCCGAAACCTTCAATGAAGATCATCACTATCCGCATTTTAGGCCAAGAATTTCGTCGTGGCTCAAAAAATTCACGCTCACAAAAGTTTTTATGTTAAGTCATACATGTTTATGGTTACTCTTTGGTTGGTTTGCTCTTGAAAATGAGCATAATAAACATAGGTTATTTTTAGCTCCGTTATACCAATATGCACTACATTTCCGCCCAGTAGCTTTTGGAGACTTGAATTTATACAATTTATAGATTACTAGATGCGTTTTCTTGAATTTTTTTGTGGAGTTTTTATAAACAATTGAAGAATTTGTGGTCAAATTTTCGCCTCTGGTTTTCCGGGAAATATCACGTAGCACAATGGTACAGTTACATCGGAATGGCTGCAATAATGTCGTGGACTTATGCAGTAGTAAAGATGGGAATATCAGAAACGTTCAATCTATTTCAACATTTCAGAAATAATTTGAAAATAGGCCTGAAATCTTCCGGGGGTCCCGAAGCGTGTGAATTGCGGTTTCGATCAGCTTCCATGTATTGTTTGGACGAAATATGACTGGTCTTGTCGAGCCTCCAGAATATTACAAAAATCTTCAGTGAAAAATTATTGGATGCAGCGTAAACATTTGACCGCAGGTAGGCGTGTTTGAATGGCCAGATTTTATAAGCGCACGTAATAGGATGTAAACTTGCCATGGTTGGACCGTTCAGGAAGGGCAAAAGTTTGGCTTTCTTCGCCATCTTCACCCGACCCTACTGGGGGAGGAAGGCTAGGTCCCATTTCAAACAGGTCTAGTCGACGTCAATTATATTTTTTCCTTGGCCTCTTTCTAGTAATTATTGCATTATGTAGGGAAAACAGATAATAATATTGTTTATGTGGATAAACAGCAAACTTTAATTGAAGAACTTCATGCTTGTTTCCTGATTGATTGTATATGTTCATCTCGTTTCGAAAAAGTAATGCCTTGCAATAAACGCAGTTCCATGAAACAAATAAAGGCAAAACGATTACAATATTAAAATTCACGGCAAGTTCTTTGAATTTCAATATAAATTTGGATACAAAGATCCTCTGCTTGCTTGAGATCTCTTACACAACAGAAAGAAGAATTTGCATAGGTCGTAACAATCCTGAATTAGGCCATGCATGCACAGGTAAACTCAAGTTCCAACATCGAACCGAACGTCGGTTCACTGAATTTAATTGCCACCGATTTTGGCTGAAAACTGTAATGTATAAACTTATGCCACGCTAACAGCTTATATTTACTAGGCGATTTCTTGCCTTCGCGTTGGAATGTGTACGAAAATGAGATTGGATTGTAATTGAAGAAACATACTATCTACAGAAGTCGTGCAACATGACCGTCGTTTTAAATATGTTGTAATCATTTGCCTCTGCTCTCGATTTATTAACAAAAATGAGTCAACAGATTAAAAAATATAACTCAGTACTCACTTCTGTGAGCGACAGAGAGCGCATTTTCTCGGCGACGAAAATGTTAAGTCACGGACGGACGGACAGACAGACAGACAGACGGACAGACGGACGGACGGAATAGCAAGCACAATAGGGCCTATTTTCCATAAATGAGAAAATGCGCTAAAAAATGAGAAGGAAAAGCGTCGTGACCAAAAGGCCTAAACTTTGTGTCCGTATCAAATTTTTAGGATTCATAGGCCTAGCCAAGATGCTCCAAAGAAACGTGATGGCCATAAAGTAGCAGATCCTCATTCTCTGTTTGTCGGTCCACTCGTTCGGACGAACTTTGGAAAGTGAGTGTATCATTCAATTGATTTAATTTTGTCAGTGATTGAGCTGCGCAAAGGAACAGACAATTTTATAAGCATATCTAAACAATAATTTTAGACTGCAATAATAACTTCCTTTATACTGATGAGCGCTTGACAGCTATATAATGCGGGAAATTAATTTTTGGGAAGACATGCATTAGTTTTGTGTGAAAATTTTCTACGCGTTTGTGCAATTTTACTCGAATAAGAAAAAAGAAGATCAACACTAAGTGTACTTCCTGTGGTATAAGCCAGTGCATCTCTCAAAAACAAGCTCGAGTGCGGAGCAGTATATGTTTTTGTACGTACGTTTTTGTAGTGTACGTACACGCATCACACACTGATTATGTAAGTAGAGTTGTAACGGCTGGATGTACACGACATTGTCATACTTTCACTCTTGTCGACTGCACCTGCAGCTAGCAGCTCCACCCTCCATCCCCCCGCTACTCTCGATCTCGTTGTTCCGATGTGGAATATTTCTTTCGTGCTTCGGCGTCATAGTTCAAGTTCTCTTTGAAAATGACCTGCTAAAATCCTAAAAAGTTTATTAAAGCTAATAAACCTTTATTACAACCAAATGGTAATACAACTGACATATCAAACAGATATTTTCAAACATAATCTTTTTGTTGGCAGTATGCTGGTAGTTCAACCAAGATCATGGTGGTCTGAGGCGCCAGAAATGTAATATTAAAAGTCGACCTATACTTGTAACTTTTTCCCACAACCTACACTGCCAAATTTATCAGCTTTCTTTGAATAGTGCGTTATTTGGCATTGCATGGATTAGCTGAGCAGCGAATTTCATCTTTAAAGTCAAGCGGCAGACGAACAGCAGGCACTTGCGTGGGACGTTCATTTCTGATCTCGTGATTCACGGCACTAGCTTAATTAATTTGTAATCATTTAAAATAAACTACATCTTGTGAAAGAAGTTTCCATATCACTTGGTGATTTTCTCGCTTTTTGCGAAAACATTCATAGTAAAATTTAAACGTTTTGATTGCAAGCATTAAATAAATCTATGTCTGCTGCTACTTTGGAGATTCCTTACAGAATTCAGACAATAGCTGAAATTAGATTCATTTATTAAATATTAATTCTCTATCGCATTTTTTTAACATCCATACTTAGCATCTGCACGTCGATCCGAAATCGTTGCATCCCAAATGGCCCATTATCCATTTGTAGGAATTTGCAAAGGAACAATAACCTTGGTTATAATTAACCTATCTTGGCACGAAATTAATTCCTCATTATATTAGCAGACGATGATGGGTAAAACTATGAGTATAAGATTGCATCTGTTCTTGTATAAAGGCAAAGGAAACATTGCAGGAGAAACTGCACTCTTGGAGTCATGCTTCAAGGTACCTTAGACCTGGTGACCGGTCACTCCTTTATTTGGCCACTAGCTGACCTGGAGATCTAGGAGCTTTGAGTGTCAAGGTCAGTCAAGGTTGGTTGGCGGTTACTTGACCAGCAACTTAGTAGCTGCGGCAGCGAGGCTTGACTGCTACCGAGGGGAGGAGCGAGGGAACTGCGACCCTCAGAGTCTTGCTGCACACGCTTGCGTGAGGAGGTTGTGTGTTGCGTGTGCTCGTCGATTTTTTCACCCTTACGAATAACGAACCCAAATAGTGCAGTGCATTTAATATCAGCTCTTATGACCAATGGAAGCGAGAGATGCCACCTTTTCAACTACTTCTTCCGCACCTTGATCGACTCGACGTGATAAAGGCTAATCAACGAAGTGAACATTTACGCTCGTATCGCATCTATGAAATGCCTTTGTTTTCGGAGACGAAATTTTGCCTCTATTAAAATGAATAGTTATTTTTAATGAATTTAATTGCAGTAATTTTTTTAGAACATCATTCGTGATGTTAATATGACGCTCTTGAAAGTTCTTCTCGTCGGAAGTATTTAACAGTCACGAGCTACTGTAGCTCATTGTCGTGAATTGGTGCATCTTCTATGCGTTAGGAATTTGAAAGTGAGATTACGCTTCGGTGAGCCTTCTTTCAATCTTTGAATGACAACAAATGCAAGCAATTCTTTCCAACCGTTCAGTTTGCTGTTTCTCGAGCCTGGGAAAATGAACAATATGAAATTGCATACAAAAGCGACTCTCCGTTCTTCTAGAGAAGTCTTCGGCTGACACAGAAATTTATTCTACGTTTCTTCCTCGCCCAATTCGAGATTTGTCAAGCAAAGACGCCCTACTACCAAAAAATGTTTATAATTATATAAACATATCCCAACTCTTTAACTCTTCATCATCCCAACATCGCAGTGAATTTGAAACAAGTACATCATATTTTTATCCTTGAAAAACTATCAGCAATATTCAACACAAATGCTTCGCAATTGTGGATTTGTACAAGGTATTGCCCTCGCAGCCGTTCTCTCGATTGGATCAAAACCTTATATAATTCCTCTGCTGCTAACTCGTAGAGCGATCAGCTGTCTACAAGGTAACAATATTAACAATTAAGAAGTCGTCACTAACAACAATCACGTATGGTTCTCCTGCAAACACAGGTTGTATTATGCACAGGAACTGTCAAGAGACCCAATTTAATTCTCCAAACAGCGGATACTATTCAGCGGTATAAAAACATTGGAATAAATCGGAAAATGAATACAGAAACATGCATATGGAGTATTTTGAGTGCAAGCTCGTCCACCGAGGGCATGCAAGGCTCCCTCAGACACTCCAGAGGCATGGCGAGCGGCTCTTCCCTTCCCTCCAGCAGCGTCGTCCGCCTCTTGCTGGGGCTGAGCGTCCTCATGCACGTGGCGCTGCCCGCCGTGCGCGCAGCCCCGCCCCAGAATAACACTTCCCGTGAGTATTACTAGTACTATTGTTATGTATCATTGTGTAGTACTCTTGTAGTATCGTTCTTGTTATTTGTGTAGTTATCGAATAGTAATGTGAGTCGTAATCATGCATTGTAGTTTTGTGTAGCGCCTTTCCACTCCAACACTTTGGCTTAAAAATTCGATGCCTGTTTCTTAAGCTGTTTCTTGATTTTGCCCAAGCATTCATTCGAAAGGTCGTCGTTCACTCATAATCTTCTCTGCCTCATGAGTTTGTCGCATTGCTCACCACAATGCATTTAGATTTGTTACTCCTTGCCTCAATTGAAGTCCACATCGCCATAAGGGCCTCCGGCTGTCTGAGATGCTGTGGACTCGCATTATAACTTGTATATGCGGCCTCCAGCATCTCTGTGACGCAATGTCTGTATCACCTCAGAACGTCACTCTGCCAAGTCTAAGAAATATCACTTGACCTGCAAAATATCATTCATACGCACAAGAAATGTTTCTCGAGTAACTACGATTAAATTTTAGCTGAACATTATTTTTTAAATCTCAGTATATTCCGCCCGAATCGTTTGTCGATTACACAAATATTTAAAAATCGCGTTTTAGATAATTGCAAATCTCTCACTTTTCCTATGGTCTTTAAATTCATTCATATCCTTACTTTTATCTTGGGATAATAAATTATTTTTCTTAATTGTTTTTCATTTCAATCGTTCGTGAAGAAAATTTTCAATCACTCTACTATGTTCGCATGTACTCAAACTAAAATTTATGAATGACCACAAACTCGAACAAAACAGAAGGTTTTGCGTGCTTTGTATTGCGTGTCTCTAACAATTCACGTCATAATATCTACACCAGAATATATCTGAGGAATGGCGATCATGGTAGAGAGCAAACATCCTTTGAGTTTGAATTGCTGTGCAATGGTTTTACGTTTTATGTCACGCAACGCCTCAAGGCGTACGATTGCAACATTGCAAAACTTGCTGCGCCGCTCTGCACGACTGCACGCTTTACAGATGATGTAGTAGGCATCAAGTCTTTCAATGCAATTCTTTTGTCGAATTTTTTTATGTTTGTGAGCATAAACTACTCTAACTTAATATATCAATTGTCAGGAACATTAAATGATGATAAAAGAGAATGAATTATTATTTTAAATACTTAAAATCTTAAAGGAGCTAATTATTGCTGCCGGAACTCTGTTTGTGTGTCCAGCATCATATTAGCACTAAAAATATAACTCAGTACTCACTGCAGTGAGTGACAGAGGGCGCATTTTCTCGTCGACGAAAACTTGAGGTCACGGACAGACGGACGGACGGACATGGCGAGTACAGTAGTGCATTTTTTCCATAAATGAGAAAATGCGCTAAAAACACTAAGGAATCGACTCACTGAATCCCAGGCATTGTGTGAAATGTTAACTATCACTTTATATTTTACACAGAAATTATTATAAACTGGTGTTTGCCCCAAGCTATTTTGAATGGAGAACTTAAAGAAAGTTAATCATTATTTAAATCAGCTTTACATTCCAAATTGTTAATCACATTCAAACCTGGCAATGTTGTTGTATGCGTCCAAGCTGATGGTAATGCTGCACAGCCGCTGTGCAAATCTCCCTACAAAGGCCGCTCAACAAGTTTATTGAACGCAATTACACATTGCCTCGGGTATTTTTACTCCTCAATTCAGTGCAAATGTCATATGCGAACTCAATTTTTGCCAGCCTTATTCAATCGAAAATTTTTATGGATGGATCTCTAAAGTTTCAAATCATACCCTTAACACATACTTTACTAGAGTTCATCAGTTATGAACGCATCTCTAATTACTATTACTTTTGATCCCCCTGCTATCATAACAATTTCACACATGAGTTCTCACGGTAATTATATTTCCGTTTCGCACACTTAATTACGAATGTTTTCACAAGACATAGGTCTCTTGAACATGATTATTGCGCAAAGCATTAACTTTTCCAGTGAAACACCTCACATGTCTGACTCCCTGCTATGTATTGTCAACAACCAACATCTTGTTCAAAGCTGCGTGTCCACAGCGCCGGCGCAGTTAGCATTGATAGAGGAACAAATTAGCAGACGTGGCCGGCGTAGCTGCAGGATATATGGCTAAAGAATTGCAGGATATATGGCTGAAGGATTGCAGGATATATGGCTGAAGGATCGTAGGATATATGGCTGAAGGATTGCAGGATATATGGCTGAAGGATTGCAGGATATATGGCTGAAGGATTGCAGGATTTATGGCTGAAGGATTGCAGGATATATGGCTGAATGATCGTCGGATATATGGCTGAAGGATTGCAGGATATATGGCTGAAGGATTGCAGGATATATGGCTGAAGGATTGCAGGATATATGGCTGAAGGATTGCAGGATATATGGCTGAAGGATCGTAGGATATATGGCTGAAGGATTGCAGGATATATGGCTGAAGGATTGCAGGATATATGGCAGACGTGGCCTGCAGGTCGCGGCTGTGAGAGGCCAGGGCCGAGGAGCCTGACTCGCAAGGTCGGCTGCGCGTGCATTACACAAGCGCTCTCGCTGCTGCGCCGCGCGCCTTACGCAATCCGCAAAATATCACATCCGAGAAATGGAGCAAGTTTGGCGTTGGATTCAGCCGACATTACTTGACCAGTTAGTGCTGAATGAAGTGAAACTAATGGGGTCTGTAGCTAAGAAAGTAATTAATTAAACAGTTTGTTCATGCACAGTTAAATATAATGAGTAATTATTACGTGATTGTGAACGTATGTTGTGCACGCGAATATTTTAGTCGTCTCATACAGTTCTGGATGTATGAAACTCAAACTATTTGGCAAGCCTTGCGAACCCATAATTTGGGATATCTGTCATGATTCGTCGTTTACTCTTCCTTTCCAACCACCTGAAAGTTGTTGGGTTCTTGCAGTGCGTCAACTTTATCTCAGTTAAATCGAGCAAAACATGTTGCTTTCCGTTTTATAATATCGCTTCATTAATTCCATGACCACTGTCTTTCACTTGCATATTAATTTATCCTAGCAATAAATCAATCTTTCAGCGTAACAACACATTGCAGTTGGAAATAAAACTAGTGACCTCAACGCGTATCAAGCACAAATCCTCTTTCCTTCTGTTTCGATCATAAATTTCGGAATAGTTATCCGCATCCAAATTAGTATACCAAGCTACAATGCCATTCCAGAGTGAATACATGAATACAACGTTAGATTTACACGATATGCACATTTATGGTCAAACATTAAAAGTTTGCACTTAAAAAATACTTAATGAAATTGTTAGCAGTTTTTACATATTGCATGCTGTTGGTGTTGTTAAGCTCAAGATCACCTATGCAAACAAATAAGCAAAATTTTATACAAATCGCGCCTGTTCAAAAACAACAATTTGTAAGGCTTTTCTGTACATAATCGTTGAGCTTAATTTCACTCTGACCTCTAAATCGTGTATAGTTTACTGTTCGACTAAGTTATTTGTTGAAACTAGTCTCATGAATAGAACTAACTTAATCGTATGAAACAACTATGACCTTTCTAGGACCGGTTACATCGTACGGTCAAGGTTCAGCGTCCAGATCCTAATATGTCGACCGTCACCGAGCGTTTGTGGCCTCCTCATCGGTCACTATAGGCGCAGTCACTTTAACCTTCGTGTGTAAATGAAGAATATTCCGTCTTAGGGTCTGCTCATCTGGTGCCAGTTTGGACAGATATGAGGTTGTTTAGAGATTAGATATGATTTTGCGTAGATTAGATATGAGGTTGTTTCCTATCAAATTAAGTGGAATTATTGGAAACTAGTTGCTATTTGGAATGTAAGATAGATGTAATTTATTCCCAAATTTATTTTCTTATCGATCATAATAAAAAATGAGCCAATGTATTACCAGCATTTTATCGGCCTAGGAAGTTGACAATTAACAGAGTCTAGCTACACAGTTTTCGTAATAAGGAAAACCTTGGTTCAATTTCAAGGTCCGCCGTGCATACAATCTACCACTCGAGCCATTGTGCGGATCAGAGACTTACTTCGTATTCTTCCTTCACTTTGGCACGTTCCTTCTTTCCCAGTCTTCTTTCTCATTAAATGTGCTCATCAAATCAATAGACAGGAAGTAAAGCAGTCGCGGAAACCTGTTGAAATATGGAGACTTGCCTCAAAACCTTCAAGCAATAACTTATATTCGTTTAAATACATTATTACAAGCAAAATATTTTTACATTTACCATCAAAAATCGACCACCAGACTTGATAATCTCTGACCGCAGTGCTGAGAGAGTGTACGTCATGCACAGAGCCTTGCGTCGTGATCGCGAGGTCTGACCAACAAATTACAGCCTCTTCTTGGCCACTGAAGACCACTGATCGTCATCGTCATCACAGCAGATCTGACCACCTCCCTCACACATGACGCTACCAGCCACCGTGACGTGCAGGGTCACCGCTTCAAGCACCCAATCTAGGACACTGGCACCTCTACCTGATGCCAAGCACTGAGGTGCCCGGTGACGACCTTCGTTGTTACCTCGTTTCTGTGCATTAGTAGACATTACATAATGTTTGAAATACGTATAGGTTACGAGAAATAATAACCTTCGGTGATTGGCATTTTTTAGAGGTAAAAAATTATACAAATACTCATGTTTCGTTAATGTACCATCGACATGTATACGTTGGCTCATATGATCAAATCGGTGCGAAAAATATATTTATGTGATGACTAGCCTGCATGGCCAGAGGACATAATTTATCATGAGTTTAAAAATTTACGCATATACCGTAAGCTTTATGGAAAGCTTAAAATAACCTACATCAATGCAACAAAAACTGAGTTCTTGAGTGTCATTTGCAACTTTGTCAAGTCCCTGCGCATTATCTCTTGAAAATTGATGAGCCGTGAAGTCATATTTTCGGAATCATTATTCTACGCAGTTAACCGCTGATGCAAGCAAGGTCAGGAGGATTGTTCTTGACCTGT